GAGTATGTCAGCCTGAGTTGTAGAATGTAAGCTTTACCTGTGTAAAAGGATTAGCACATTTTTATGACCATGTAATATTCAATCAAAATTGATGTGATGAACTACTTGCAGAAACTGCATGTAAATTTGGATAAAATACTTGAATGTACCTGAATAAAGATATATTCCATACCAGTTATGAAAGAGTGAGATTAATAGCTATTTCCGCTACAAGAAACTCATCTCAAGTGGTAACACAGGTACTAATACAAATGGATAGGTGTTGAAGGTTCTCTTTCTCATATTAGTTAATTGAGATAATTGTTGATATAGGTAGCCTATGGTTTATGGGATAATGCATTAGCACCCCCTTATCTGACAAGAAAGAGCAGCATATTTACTCTTGTCTTTGTTTTATTAGAATTATTATCGTTGTTTTCCTTGTCCTCTGCAAACGTATTTGGAAATTCTTCTCCAGTCCCAGTAATCAGTTTCAGTGCGAACTAATAAGTTGGTGAGTTTTGGTTTAACAAAGACACTTTTTATTATTGTGAATAAAGATTTTGTTTACATGTTTGATAGTGTTTGCTTGTTATTTATTTGCTGTTTGTGTTCAGTTTATTCTCTACATAATATTTTTCCGAACTTGAGTTTTTCTAAAAACCCTTTCTACCTGTTGGATATCAGTTTACCTGAACACTATGTCATATATAAATTGCCTTTGTAATTTAGACACATTGCAATCATGAGTTTGCTAGAAAGGAACTCTTAGAATGGTGAAAAGTATTTGAAATTTTTATTCATTTGATTTGGACAATAAGTTTATTTAATATTTATCATATTCCTTTAAATACACCCATGCACATGCAAGGAAATGATATATTTCAAATTATGCTCTCAGATGATAATATTATCTCCTTACAAGTGTTTTTTCTTTTTTTCAAAGTTCTCACCAGTTCATATGTAACCTTCACGTAAGTTAAATTACAAACATTAATCTAAAATAACCCAACATATCAAAAAGGAAATCACCAGTGAAACAAAATAAGTAAAACCCAAGTAAATTTACTTTGAAAATATTTCGTTTAATGTGCTGAACTCTGACTTCCTTAGAAACTGGAATCCATAAAAATCCAAACTAAAAAGAAATAAAGTAAATATTTTGTTTCTTTAAGATAAACATCTACACTATACTCGGCAGGAGCTCTAAAACTCTCCCAAAGAAAATTAGCAGAAGCCTATACTGAGCTTCTGGGGAATACTGTTACCACAGCGGAGGTCACGTGACGCTAGTAACACGCCACGCGCTTCTAAAACGTTCATGAAGCGTCGGGAGACTACTAGATATGGGGTAGTCTTGTATATATAAGACCGGCCAAGAAGCGACAGGAGGCAATGTGTAATTGAACTGCGGACAGAATATTGTTGAGTTGAGCACGTGAGACGTTCGTTGTGAATTATAGCGTTTGTCATAGCGCGACTGTTGAAATTAAATGTATCGCAAAGTTGCATTCAGAAAGAATAAACCAGATTTATTTAAGAAAGGACTTTTATTGGTAAAGTTCCTTCGGAAAGAATTTTTACGAAAAATTAACTAACGAACGGAGACATAACAATACTTATCATGGAAAAACTTATGAAACCCTCATGCTTCCAGGACAAACCTGGATTTATTGTAGCTGAATGCTTGTTTTGCATTAGGAAAGGAATAAAGACAAATGTATTTTACACTAAATACATTAGTAAAGTCAATATTAAAAGCAACAACTAATGCTGTTATGGATTGAAAAGGGAAAAATACCAGCATGTGGTCTTGAAGAAAACGTTCAAACATGCAAAAGCAAATACCATTATCATTGATTGCATCAATACCTCTTGTTTTTCCAACACTAGTGTGTGTAAGCCTGATATACAACTTTACAGCTGATCAATAACATAACTAGTAATAAAACACTGAATGATTCACTGCTAGCTGAAATAAAAAACTTTGTGACTGATTCAAGGACTACTTTAGTGTGCAGCTCAGACAATTTTGTGTAGCTCTAAAAGCTTAATATGCAGTTGGAAATTGAATTTTGTGTAACTACATTTTGTATGTAAATTCCAAAGAACTACAGAACCACAAACGTTTCTCTAGCTATGTATGTCATGTTTTATGTAAAATAAAATACGCTACAATACGATGTAGATTTTAGCATCATTTAATAAAATTTTAATAAAAGTTCCATGAACATCTATTATAGTAGAGTATAAATTATTTTACTAACATTTTCATTATGCACAAAAGTCTACAATAAATATATATATGTAAAATAATGCTCAACACTCTCCAGGGTGTCGTTTCAATGTGGTTCACATTTTAAATAGCCCCTAGACTGATTCACTCTGCTGACTAGAAACAACTCTACTCTAAGTTTCACTTTTTCTGGTATTCATAATCTACTCCTCGAATTTACTAGAAAACTTGAGATCTATTTGCCTACATTATAAAATTTTTCTATCTTAATGTCGTATGCCCTTTAGCTAACATCTGAATTATAACATTAAAAACATAGTTTATAAGAGCAAACATTAACCAAATGTTGTTTTATTTTTCTTTAAGAATAAACATTTTTGATAGAAAATTTGCTTGTTTTAACTCAAAGTAAAAGTTGGGATTTTGTGCATATCAGATCATACTTGTGGTTGAAAAAGCCTAGCAAACTACTGCTACAAAATATTTTCGAATTGGATAGTTTGTAATTTATGATAATTATTACATGCTAGAGGAGTTTTTAGCCTCAACTAAATCATATATTGTCCTTCTAATAATCACAGATTCCTGTTACAACATGTTTGTCAGTTCTTAGCCCAGATATCATATTGTTATGACATCGGGGTCACGTGACGCTAGTAACACGTCATTGACTTCTAGAAATAA